AAACTACTCTAAGTTTCTACCTCATACCTATCAGATTGGCAAAGATGATCCCAAAAAAGGGGAGTGGGTAGGAAATCACAACTGTCGTCAGGGCTGGTGGAAAACAGGTATATTGATGCACTGGTGGTAGAGATATGAACTAGTCCAGCCACTATGGCAGTCATTGGGAACTATATCCAAAAATAATCACTAAACTATGTACCCATTGACCTGGCACCTTTAATGGGCTTATACCCCACAAAGATCAAAGAAAGAGGAAAATGACCCATATACAAAAAAATATTGATAGCAGTTCTTTGTGTATGACAAGTAACTGGAAACTAAGGGAGTACCCATCAATTGGGGAATAAATTATGGTATATGAATGTAATGGAATATTATTGTGCCATAAACAATGAAAGGCAAACCTAGGAAGACACATGAATTAATGCATAGTGAAGTGAATAGAATTAGAAGAATAATTCATACAATAACAATAACATTGTAAAGAAAAACAACTCTGAGAGACATAAAAACTTTGATCAGTGCGATTATCAGAGTCCCAAAGGACTGTGGTGAAAAATACTACTGATCCAGCAGTCCACGATTATCATCGAGTATTTATTTTTTAAAATAAGTTTTTATTGATGTGTTCTGTTCTTTACATTACCATACCCATGTGTCCTTCCTCTTCCCCTTTACAGAGAGCCATCCCATATGATAAATAGTATTTTTTGGAGAGAAAAAAGAAGGCAGCACAACTGATAAAGTGAAAAAGTCCAAAAACATGTACAGTATGTAACACCCATGGTCTTCCCACCTTCACAGAGCAGTGGGTTAGGAGTGTGTCTTCTTGTTTGATATTTATATTTTTATTACATTTATTTATCTCTTGTTTGATATTTCTAATTTTATTACATTTACTTTTGCTTTTGGAGGGTGGTATTCTTTCCATTTACTCTGTTGTACTCATAATGTATATTGTTTTCTTGCCTCTGTTTACTTCATTCTTTATCAGTTCATAGAGATCAATGCTTCTCTGTATTTATCACACACATCATTTCTTACAGTACAGTAATATTCCATTTCATTCATACACCACGATTTGTTTAACCATTCCCCAATTAATGGATATCTACTTTGTTTCTAATTCTTAGCACAAACAGTGCTGCTTTAAATATTCTGGAGCTTATAGGGGGCCTTTTTTTCCCTTATCTATGGGTTCTTTGGGGTATAAGCCCAGTAATGGAGACATTTTAGTCACTTTATTTGCATAATTCCAAATTATTTTCCGATTGTTTTGATTTGCTTATTATTGTTTTGATATCTCTTAGTGATTTGGAGCAATTTTTGTGTGTGGTTGCTTTGCAGTTCTTTTATGTACTTTGTTTACATCCTTCGACCATTTATCTGTTGAGGAATGGCTATTATTTATATACATACACACACACATCATCACTTCACTTCATTTCTTATCCTAGATGTATTAATGTTGTCTGTGCAGAAACTTTTCAATTTCAACAATCAAAATTATCTATTTTATCTTTTGTAATTGTCTCTGTCTCTTGCTTGATTAAGAATACATCCCCTTAGGGGCAGCTAGGTGGTGCAGTGGATAAAGCACCAGTCCTGGAGTCAGGAGGACCTGAGTTCAAATCTGGCCTCAGACACTTGACACTTAACTAGCTGTGTGACCCTGGGCAAGTCACTTAACCCCACTGCCTAGCCAAAAAAAAAAAAAAAGAATACATCTCCTTCCATAGCTATGAGAACTACATGATCTGTTTCTGTCCTAAGTTGATTTTTTAAAAAATAACATAATGTATAATATTAAGGGCATGTATCCATTTAGAATGCATTGCAGAGTATAGTGTAAGGTGTTGGTCTAAGCCTAATTTCTGCCAGACTGCTTTCCAGTTTTCATCAAATAGGGAGTTTTTCCCTAGTTAATATGTTTTCCACTTTATCAGATACTGGGTTACTGAGTTCTCTTGTTCACTGAATCTCCTTTGTGTAGTCTGTTTCATTGATCTGTCTCTCTATAATCAATATCAAACGGTTTTGACAACTGCTACTTTATAATGTAGCTTGAGGTCTGGAAGTGCTACACCTTCTTTGTCCTTACTTCTTTTCACCATTTCCCTTATTATTCTAGATCTTTTGTTTTTCCAAATGAAATCTGTTCTTATTTTATTAAGTTCTATAAAGTATTCCCTTGGTAATTTGATTGGCATGACATTAAAATTGTATATTAATTTTGGTAGTATTGTCTTTTAGTATATTCTCACAGTTTAACCATGATCACTGAATATACCTTTAGCTATTTAGGTTCTCTTTCTTTCTTTCTTTCTTTCTTTCTTTCTTTCTTTCTTTCTTTCTTTCTTTCTTTCTTTCTTTCTTTCTTTCTTTCTTTCTTTCTTTCTTTCTTTTTTGGCAGTTGGGGTTAAATGACTTGCCCAGGGTCACATAGGTAGTAAGTGTCAAGTGTTTGGTCTGAGGCCACATTTGAACTCAGGTCCTCCTGACTTCAGAGCCGGTGCTCTATCCACTGCGCCGCCTAGTTGCCCCTGTTCTTTATTTCTTTAAAAAGCACTTTGTAATTTAATCTACACAAGTCTTTTGTGTGTTTTGGGAGGTGGATCCACCGATATTTTATGCATTTTGTAGTTATTTGGAAGGATTTCCCTTTCTGTTATAGCATCTTGTGATTCATTGATTACTATATAGAAATTCTGTTGATTTCTGAGGATTTATATTATAGCTTCTAAGTTTGCTGAAGTTATTAATGGTCTCCATTAGTATCTTTGTGGATGTCCTAGGGATTTCTGAGTGAACCGTTATGTCATCAGCAAATGGGAAGAGTTTCACCTCCTTTACCTGTTTGGATTCCTTTTGTTTTTCTTGTCTTATTGCTTGTGTCAGTATTTCCAGAACTACCAGATAACAGTAGAGAGAATGGGCGTCCTTGCTTCGCTGCTGCATTTATTAGAAAGGGCTCTACTGCACATGGGGTTTGCTCTTGGTTTTAGATAGATGTTTTTTATGATATTTTTTAAAACTCCCTCTTTGCCTATACTGTGTAGGGGTTTGGGGCAGAAAAGAGTATCGTACACTGTCAAAGGCTTTTTCTGCATCTACTGAGATGATCATATGGTTTGGAATGTTTTGGTTTTTAATATGATTAATGATGTTGATTGTTTTCATAATGTTGAGTCATCCTTTGGTATGGTTGGTATAAATCCCATTTAATTACAATGAATGAGTTCTTGGATAAATTGCTGTAGTTTGACAAGATTTTATGGAAAGTTTTGAGTTAACATTTATTAATGATATAGGCCTGTAGTTTTCTTTCTTTGTTTTACCTTTCCCCCAGTTTAGGTATTAGGATTATATTTGTCTCATAGGTTTTTTCTTACTCAATTTCTGAAAATAATTTGTGAAAGTAAGGGTACTAACTATTCTTTAAAAGTATGTCATTTTTCTTGTTGATTTATCTGTTTGTGTTCAAAGTATTTGCATTTTCTTCTTGAAATCTTTGATAATTACTGGGCAATTAACAATTCACCAGCCGAGGTCTCTGCCCCAGGTGGCTTTTGGGTGGTCAGAACTTGTCCCGACCGGGTGCTGTGCTCTTTTTCTCAGGCTTGGTGGAGTGCTGCCTGACCCCCCTGTCCTACTCCCTTCTGTGCTTCAGTTCTCTGGCCCAGTGCTGGCAGTACAAAGTCTGTTTTCCCAGCAGGGCCAGTTCAGACCTTTGCAGTGATGGTGCTTCCAGGTTTTAGCCCTTGGAAGGCTTTTGCTGAAGGGCTGTGTCCAAGCTGACTGAAAAGTCCTGCGCAAACTTCTACAGCCTGGAGTTGAGTTCTCCATGGCACTAGAAGAAGGCAGGGGGTATCAGGGGATAGGGGGTGAGTTTTGCTATAAGTTTGTGTCATGTCTTTGGGAGGTGGGGGGAAGGTGCTTCATGAGCTCAGAGTCAGAGAGTGGCAGTTCCTGGGTTTGGAGTTTCTATTTTTTGCATTCTTGTGGATTCTGAATCCTAGACTTTGGAGAAAGCTGAAGTTGCTTTATGTTTGGAGCATAATTTCTGTTTTGGAGAGGCTTTAGTGGTTGTAGGATCATAGAAAACGTCCAGTCTACCATCTTGTTGCTCAGTGATCCAAGAGAAATCATCAAGTATCTATAAAATAGTTACTTTGTGCCAGGTACTGTGCTAAGCAGTGAAAATACAAAGAAAGGCAAAATCATGGTCCCTGCCCTCCAGGAACTTACATTCTAATGAGGGAGATAACAATTATGTACATACAAGATACATAAAAGTGAAACTGGGAAGTAATCTCAGAGGGAAGGTATTCTTAGTTGGAGTGGGGACCAGAAAAAACACGTTGGAGAAGGCAAGATTTGAGTTGTCTTTTTTTTTTGGGGGGTTACGCAATGGGATTAAGTGACTTGCCCAGAGTCACATAGCTAGTAAGTGTCAAGTATCTGAGACTGGATTTGAGCTCAGGTCCTTCTGACTCTAAGGCCAGAGCTCTATCTGCTGTGCCACCTAGCTGCCCCCTGAGTTGAGTCTTGAAGGGAGCCAGAGAAGCTAGTGGATAGAGAGGAAGGAGAGCATAGCATTCTTGGGGGACAGGCAGTGAAAAGGCAGAGAACTGGGAGATGGAGTGCATGGAACAATTGTAAAATATGTGGAGGGGAGTGAAGTATAAGAAGAGAGGAGGGGCAGGAGGGGACCAGTATGTGAACTATTTTAAAAGAGAGAATATTTTCCATTTGATCCTGGAGGCAATAGGGAGCAACAGGAATTTACTGAAAAGGGCTCCAGTCAGACTTATTCTATAGGAAGATCACTTTAGCAGCTGAGTATATAGGTTACTAGGGCAATGAGGTGGCACAGCAGATAAAGTGCTGGCCCTGGAGTCAAGAGGATCTGAGTTCAAATCCAACCTCAGAAACTAACTAGCTGTGTGACCCTAAGCAAATCACTTAACTCTGTTTGCCTCTGTTTCCTCATTTGTAAAATGAGCTGGAGAAGGAAATGACAAACCACTCTAGTACCTTTGCCAAGAAAACCCCAAATGGAGTCATGAAGAGGTAGACGCAACTAACTGACCAAAAAAAGGTACATATGTGTGTGTGTGTGTGTAATTGTACACACATGTATGTATATATAATTTTATACATATGTCTGCCTGTGTGTGTGTGTGTATGTGTGTGTGTGTGTGTGTGTGTGTGTGTGCGCGCAGCGTGCTATTGCAGTGGTCTAGGTATAAAGTGATTACCAGGGTGTTGATTATATGAGTGGAGAAAAAGGGATATATACTAGAAATGCTGTGAAGGCAGATATGACACGGTGCAGAATGAAACACTTTTTTCTGGACATGGCCAAAGTAGAGATTTGTTTTGTTTAACTTGCATATGTGCTACAAGGATTGTATTTTTCTTTCATTTGAAGTGGGAAGAGGAGAATAATGATGGGGTTACCAAAATGGGGGAAAAAAAGCAAGAAATCAGAGTCACGGAGGCATTGTTTGAAATGCTTAGAAGAGAACAGAATGAAGGTCAGTACGAACCCACAGATAAGCTGGGCAGCTTTGGAGAGAATGTACTGAATTTGTTATATGCTTAGAGAGAAACAAAAGGCTGTTCATGATATAGATTTGTGGCTTCCTATATGGTCCTCTTTTGGGGGGTTCTATTTTGTATACGGAAATGCTTATCTTATTTGGTGTTAAGTTCAGGATAAAAAAAAATTAAAAGGACAAAAAAAATTTATCTTCCCCACAAAATATATATTCCAGGGGCACCTAGGTAGCACAGTGGATAGAGCACAGTCCTGGAGTCAGGGGGACCTGAGTTCAAATCCAACCTCAGACACATAACACTTACTAATTGTGTGACTCTGGGCAAGTTACTTAACTCTAATCACCTCACCCCCCCCAAAAAAAATATATGTGTGTGTGTGTATATGTATGTATATGTGTATGTATATATATATATATATATATATATATATATATGCTCCAGTCTGTCATTATGGCATGGAATTGATCTTGGGTTCTTGAAGACAATGTCAGTATAATGCAAAACCTCCGGAAGGACCTACTACACTAGAAAGACTTAGGATTCAGTCCCAACCACAGCCTCTGTCTGCTCTCTTAAGTGCCAGCCAAGCTGAATATGGAGAAGCTCATTATGAAATGATATTTGTAATGCCTGTAGCATACTTCCTGGTACATAGTAGGTGCTTAATAAATATTTGTTCCCATCCCCCGCTCTGGCCCCTCCAAAGAAGCTGGCGATCAGGTAATGAATTCTTTGATCATGGCAACCTATGAAACACAACAGCAATCACAATCCTTACCTTAACAACAACAACAACGTCACCTAAGACAAAATCAATAACTACCTACCATATGCCTACTTTTTAGTTTCTACAAAATTTTTAAAAGAATATTCTACATAAGTATTCAAGTCATCCTTGACGAAGATATAAGATAGGAACGGTCAAAGTCTCACAAACAGTATTCTGTAGTAGACCACATCTTTTGTCATACAGTTAAATGTGTAGAGAATACAAGCTCCCATTGTACTTAATATTCCTTGACTACAAAAAAGGCATTTGTTTCGGTAGAACAAAGTCCCTCCTTAAAGGAGATCCTCTAACCAGATGTCTTCCATGTTCATGTTAAAACTGTACAAGATCCCTTGCAAGATGCAGAAGGAATAATGTTGTTAGAAAATCCTCTGATTATCGATTATTATTATTACTGATTATCTGATTACTAATTGATTATTATTACTAACTGATTATCAAGCAAGGCATAAAACATGTGCTCGACAAAGCTGGTTACAATTCTCATGGAGAATGTTCAGTTTGGGCTCCAAATGGAAGAGATTGCCTACTGTTGGTTAGATCCTCTGTTGCTGATGTTTGTGGATAACATTTATATAACAATGCATGGCCTTTTAAACGAGTTCTATGATCACTTAAAAAATATTTGGCCCAATGATCCACACTGGAAAAACCAAGTGGATGATGAATGCTCGTGGTCCAGGCTATGACTTGAATGGATCTGCCAGATGATGGCTTGATCTGTCAGTTTCTTTAGATGGGCAATGATTTGGGCCCAGAATTGAATAGGAAAAAAGAAAGCAGGCTGAATCTTGTTTTTGGAAAATGTAGAGCATGCATACCTTCGGTCCAGCAACACAACCACTAGGCACAGTCTTTAAAGAAGTCAAAGATAGAGGGAAAGGATATTTATGGCAGCAGCTTTTATTGTAGCAAAGAACCAAAAATAAGTAGGTGCCCATCAACCCAGGAATAGCTGAGCACATAAAGGTATATTAATGTAATGGAATATTATTATGCTGTAAGGAATGCAGGGATGGAAAGGGACAGATTCAGAGAAACCTCGTAAGACTTTTGTGAACTGATCTAGAGTTACGTGAACAGGACAGGAGAACAGTTTCCACAATGATGATAATAACATAAAGGAAGACAACTCTGAAAGATTTAAGAACCCTGATCAATGAATGATTTTGACTTTAGAAGACGATTAATGAATCATGCCTCCCACTTCTTAACAGAGAGGTGATAGAGATCAGAGGTGTGAGAAGAGGCATACATTTTCAGAAAAGGCCAATGTGTGAATATGTTGTGCTTTAACTGTACAAGGGAGAGATCTGGGGAGGGAGGCTGAGGGAGAGAGTTGGGGGAGGAGTAAAGGAAGGAAAAAGAGAGTCAATGAAATATTTTAAAAATGGAGAAGAACAGGAGGAAGTTCAGATGGGGACACAGACAAGCAGGGCAGTGTTGGTGCTATCATGTTAAATTTGATATACTGTTTAAAAATGTACCAGATATTTGTGGGGTGTTTTTTTTGTTCTTTCCACACTGAAATGTTCATGTTTGTTAAATTCATAATAAAAAAAGAAAGAAAATGCCCAATGTTTTTAATGACCTCAAGTTTCTCCCTGAAACAAAGCCCAATGTTTTTTTAAAAGCAATATTCTTCCAGGGAGGCTGTGAGTCATGGAATACTGCAGTCTTGAGGATTAAAACTCTGGGTCACTCAAAGTACAATGACAGGTTGTATGGAGGGCCTCCACACCAGGCCTTCTGTTCTCAGCCCTTCACCCTCATCTAGCGGCAGCAGCAGCAGCAGCAGCGGTAATAACAGCTAGTATTTACAGAGACTTTGAAGTTTGCAAAATGCTTTACAAATAGTATCTCATTTGATCCTTACCTCTGGGAAGTAGGTGCTAACATCATATTCATTTTACAGATGAGGAAACTAAGTCTGAGAAGTTGAGGAACATGCCCAGATTCGCACAGTCAGTAAGTACCTGAGGTAGGATTCTAACTCAGGTCTTCCAGATCAATATTCTATCTACTGTATTGTATAGATGCCTTATTTCCCTCCCTCCAGAAACTTGGACTTTGTCCCTGGGTCCCTTTTTCTCTGATAGGTGAGCATTTACTTTTTCCTGTTGGGGCCCAAGTCTTCATGACACTTTCCCTGCCTCACCCATGCTGCCCTCCCAACACCCCTTTATGCGTTGTCTTTCTGTCTTAGAATGTAAACTCTTTCAGGCTAGGGACTGTACTGCTTGATTGTATCAGTATCTTAGCAAAGTACCTGCCTGACACATAGTAAATTTAATAAAAGTTCTGTCTGTCTGTCTCTCTATCCTGTCTATCCAGTCTGTCTATTTATCTATTTAGTCAGTCTTTCTGGTCTATCATCTATCTGTTCTGTCTCTCTTCTCTGTCTATTTATTTGTCAGTCTGTCTGGTCTGTCTATTTATATTGTTTGAATATTTATCTATTTGTTAGTCTGGTCTATCCATCTATCTATGTATCTGTCTGTCTGTCTCACTCTATCTTGTCTATCTTGTTTGAATATTTATCTATTAGTCTGTCTGGTTTGTCTGTCTGTCTATCTGTCTATCTATCTGTCTTGTCAATCTATCTGTCTAATATGTGATACATACATCACACACACACACACACACATATATATATACACACACATATATTATATATATGTATATATATATATATATATATGAAAAGGCATATAACAAATGAAGACTTGCATGAAAGCAGCAGCCTTGGAGCACAGAGATGTAGGACTTCAAAAAGGAGAGGGGTGTTCAGCAGGCTTGAGGATCCCCAGTGGCCAGCACACAGCCTACACTGGTGTCCGTGGAACGCTGAGATACCAGAGGGAGTGCACATTCTCTCCCCAGGGGAGGGCTCACAGGAGCCCATGGACAACAGTCACACAGGATGAGGAAGCACAGAAAAGGGGGTGATTTGTATGTTCAGAAGGATTAGCCACATGAGTGAGCTAAGATCACTGAGGTGAATTTCATCTGATTAGATCTGACTCATCATTCTAACCTTTCGACTCCTTTTTAGATACTGGCTGTGTCACCCGGTGTGTTAGCTAATCCTCCCAGCTTTGTGTCCCTGGAAAATTTGATGATTATGCCATAAAAGCCTTCATCTAAGTCACTGACTAGAGTGCTTAACAGTGTGAGAGGAAGTATGGTGTAGTGGACAGAGGGTGGGTTTCAGAGTCAGGGAGAGCAGGGTCCAAGTCCTGACTTAGACACATACTAGCTGTGTGATCCTAGGTAACTCACATAACCTCTCAGTGCTTCAAGCAATTCTCTGAGAGATGCTGATCTGAATTGGCAGAGGGAATTTCTTTACTGGATGTTTCTCGTACCAAATAAATCACAGATTGGGTAAAAAAAAATATTAAACAGTACAGAATATTTAAGTAAATCTGGGGGGGACTTCACTAGCTACCTCCTCCAGGTTCTACCTTTTATACTTATTAGCTATGTGACCCTGGCCAACTCATTTAGCCTATTTGAGCCTCAGTTTCCTCGTCTGTAAAACAAGGGAGTTAGACTAGATGGTCTCGGGTCCGCCTTTCAGTTCTCATATGATCCTGTGTGCCATTAAGAACTAACTGCTCCCAGGGTCTGGTCATTCGGCCAAGTTCTGAATCTACCTGAATATACTGTCACCTGGCCTATATGTCTCCACCTTGTCCACAAAGACAGCATAGGACACTTTTGTCAAATGTTTGGCTGTCATTGACACAGACGGCATCTCCCTGATACAGGAAGCCTGTCTGTCTGGCGTGATGTGCTTTAGATGAGGCTGTGCTCGCCCTTGGTGGTCACTGGCTCCTTCTCTAGATGTGCACAAAATAACTAGGCAATACTGGATTTTATAATTTTCTCAGGAGAGCTGAGTCAAATTTACATGAATATAAGTAAAAGGATATGAATAGACAGTTTTCAGATGAAGAAATCAAAGCTATCTACAGTCACATGAAAAAAATGCTCTAAATCACTACTGATTAGAGAAATGCAAATTAAATCAACTCTGACATATCACCCCATACCTATCAGATTGGCTAATATGACAGAAGCGGGAAATGATAAATGTTGGAGAGGATGTGGAAAAACTGGGACACTAATGCACTCTTGGTGGAATTGTGAACTAATCCAACCATTGTGGAAAGCAATTTGTAACTATGCCCAAAGGGCTATAAAACTGTGCATAGCCTTTGATCCCGCAATACCACTACTAGGTCTGTATCCCAAAGACATCATAAAAAAGGGAAAAGGAACCACACACAAAAAAATATTTATATCAGCTCTTTTTGTGGTGTCAAAGAACTGGAAATTGAGGGGATGCCCATCAACTGGGGGATGGCTGAACAAGTTGTGGTATATGAATGCAATGGAATACTATTGTGCAATAAGAAATGATGAGCAGGCAGATATCAGAGAAACCTGGACAGACTTACATGAACTGATGTAAAGTGAAGTGAGCAGAACCAGGAGAACATTGTACACAGTAATAGTAACATTATGCGATGATCAACTATAATTGACTTAGCTCTTCTCAGCAATACAATGATCCAAGACAATTCCAAAAAGCTCTTGAAGGGAAATGCTATCCACATCCAGAAAAAGAACTGATGGAGCCTGAATGCAGATCGAAGCATACTATTTTCGCTTTCTTTAGTTTTTTCATGGCTTTTTTTCCCCTTTTGTTCTGTTTCTTCCTTCACAACATGACTAATATGGAAATATGTTTTACGTGATGGCACAGATATAACCTTTATCAAATTGCTTACTGTCTTAGGGAGGAGGAAGGGAAAGAAGGGAGGGAGAAAATCTGGAACTCAAAATTTTATAAAAAATGAATGTTAAGAATTATCTTCACATGTCATTGGAAAAAATAAAATGCTATTTAAAAAAAACCCAGTGATTTTCTCTAGAATCCAAATTAAGCTCACTGGCCTATAGTTTGTACCCTCTTCCCTTCTTTTTGAAATACTCCAATCTTGGGGTATTTTTCTTATTCTTTAGGGTCTTTCAAATGTCACTGATTCTCTACTGTTTCTCTAGACAGTAGTAATAGAATTATTACTACCTATGGGAGGAAAATGCCTTATGAATCTTCTAGTACTTCAGAAATGAGCTTTTATTATTATTACTGAAATTCACCTAATTCACCCTCTTTGAATCATTCTTTCCAACTCCTTCCTCCTCTGACAACCAATTGGCCCCTCCCCTCACAGTGTGCCTATTCCTAGCTTGTCTTTGAAGAAGTACACACATTACTTCCAACCTTGAAGGTGACTTAAGAAAGAGAAATATTCTTTTCCACTGGGGGGAAAGTTTTTTGTTTCTTTAAGTTAAAATGACTTTCAGTTAAAAAAAACAAGTCTGTTATAGAGGCCTATTGCTGTATGGTTCTATTAGAGCAGCTAGGCTGGGTAGATGGCACAGCGGATGGAGTCAGAAAGACTGGACTTGGAGTCAGAAGACCTAAGTTTGAATGTGACCACAGACACTGTGTGACCCTGTGCCAGTCACTTAACCTCTGTTTGCTGGCTGTGAGGAACAAATGAGATAATATTTATAAAGAGCTGTGCAAACTTTTAAAGTAGTCTATAAATGCTAACGATTATTGCTTTTTAAATGATTAGATATGATGATCATATTACAGGTGGACTTCAGCATGCAAGTGGGCCTCAGCCTGGAATATTTTTACAATGTGGACAGAAGGAGAAAGGAGGGGACAGTCTTAGCAATGACTCAAACAGCAAAGACAGTATCAAAGATGAGACACAAGTGTCTCTGTTGTTGGGAACCAAATTCCCATGATGCTGTGACCTTGTAGGGTTCTTTCATCACACTCTATCCTGTTCCAGGTATGTTACAATTCAGGCCACTGTTGGGAACTTCTTGTTGTCACAGGCACTGCTGGGAGGCCGAGGGGGCTCAGTTGTGCGGGTGAATTCTGGCCCCAGCTCTCATTTCTTTGGTTGACTGACCATGGGCCATGACTCACTTCTCTGTGTCTTTGGTTTCTTATCTACTGAGGGAATACACTGGCCATTCACTGATCCCAGGTGGGGACCAGTACAGGTTACTGATGTGGCAAATCAGACACAACGGAACAGCACGGGCTATGGGGTTAGGGGAAACTGAGCTTGAATCTCAACCCTGCCCCTTACCACCTGTGTGACCTCGGGCAAGTCACTGAACCCTTTTGAACCTCAGTTTTCTTATCTGTGAAACGAAGGGGGCCAGATGAGAAGAGCCCTTCCAGATCTCAATCAGTGAGTCTATAACCCAAGGTGGTCTGGAAGAAACTTGCAAACATGGATCATTCTGAAATGCTTTCTCATCTGAGGGTCATTAAAGATATTTTTAAAAATTTATTTTATTTGTAATTTATGGAATGAAACAAGCACTTCCATAACAGTGTAATAAAAAAAAAGATGATTGCACATGAAACTGCAAATCTGTTATGTATAACTTGTTATTCCTTTTAAATATATAATAAAGTTCTCATAATTTCTTTTTTCCCCCTTTTTCTCCTTCCCTTCTCCCCCTTGAGATGCCTATCATTAGGTGGCTGGGGTCCCTAACATCATAGGCTCATTTTTTAAAAATTATTTATTTTATTTTTAATTTATGGAATAAAACAAGCATTTCCATAACATAGTATAATTTTTAAAAAGATAATTCCACATAAAACTGCAAACCTATTATGTACAACTGAATATTCCTTTTAAATATGTAATAAAGCTATCGTGTAAATTTCTTTTTTTGTTCTTTTTTTCTTCCCTTCCCTCCTTTCCCCACCCTAGAAATGGCTACTGTTAGGTGGTTAGGGTCCCTAATATCACGGGACCATTGATTGACAGCTGGAAGGGACTTTAGTGACTATCAAGTCCAACCCTCTTATTATACAGATGATGAAGACAGGGCTGAGCCTGGTGGGGATCTCAGGACAAGCAGATAGGAAATTAATACAGTGGACAGAGAACCAGGCCTGGAGTCTGGAAGACCTGAATTCAGATGTGATCTCAGACACTTACCAGCTATGTGACCCTGCGCAAGAAATTTCACCCTGTTTGCCTCAGTTTCCTCCTCTGTAAAATGAGATGGAGAAGGAAATGGCAAACCACTCCAGTTTCTTTGCCAAGAAAGCCCCAAATAGGGTCATGAAGAGTCAGACAGGACTGGAAGACAACTCCAACCTACCAGTAATAAAGAGTTCCCTCCAATTCAGCTAGCACTCTAGAGGGCTTCTTTGTAAGGGCTTGAAGCCCCAAGTACAAGAAGGCTGACAAGACTAAAAAAACAAAAAAAAAACCAAACTAAAGCTAATTTCCTAATTGATTACTTAGTTTATTATGAAATATCCCAACAACACAGTATTAATAGACCTTGCCAATGGTCCCTCTCTCCAGTAAAAGGAGACTTTCATGGGGTGAGCTGGTACTGGAGAAGCTCCCGGTCCCCGTGTTTCCATTACCAAGATTTCAGATGGCCCCCCGTTGCCAAGATGCCCATATTACCTGAGGGGTGTTCTCCATACACTTCCTGATATCATCTTCGCCCAAGAGCCATTCCAGAAGGATTGGGAGTCCTGCAGTCAGAGGGTCCCACTGAGGGAGCAGCTCACACAACAAGGCCACAGCCAAGTCCAGGGCCACGGAGGCATTCACCAAGCAGAAGGCAAACTCTAAAGAGACACAAAAGACAGACATCTTCCATCAGGGCTCCTCAGGGACTAGAGAAGACAAAGGCATCCCAGCAACAGGGAATAGGCATTTGTGGTATTTAAAGGTGAGAAGGTAGGCATGAGCTGAACTGGGTTGACCTAAAGAACATACATGCTTGTGGCTGTGTGACTATGAACAAGTCATTTCATTTCCAAAGGCCCAGTTCTCCTCCCCACCTAGGAAATGTTGATAGGAGTAAAATTTAAAATGTTACATAAATATGAGAGCAAAGATGATGATGATTCAACTTGGAATCCTACTATATGCACGGTTAGAAGAAGTTCTCATTAAAAAGAGAGAAACATACCAATTCAACATAGCTTAATCACCCAGCTTTGACTTAAACATGCATAGGGCTGGCCCTAATGTATAGGCAGACTGGACAGCTGCCTATTCAGTCTGATTTGCCTGGTATTGGAAAGCTCTTTAATCACCCCAAAGAATCTCCCCCACTACCTGTGGGGGAATTCAGTGCCTGAATTCTACCATTAAGGACTTTTTTTTTTTTTGGGGGGGAGGTCTCCTTAACTTGGCCCAGGCTGAAAATGCAGGGCCCACTTGTGGCCTAATCCCAATACCGATCAGCATGGAAACTTTAACTTGTTCTATTTTTCTGACTTGGGCCAGTTTGCTTCTCCTTAGCCAGCTTGGTAGCTCCTGGGGGCTCACCATATTGGACTTAGTTCAGACACCTGATCAGTTTTAGCCCTACTGCAGTTTAGAATTTCTAAAACTCAGGTGCTCCATCAGCCTCAGCCTCCCAGAGAAGCAGAGATTATATATGTGTACCATTAAGGATCTCCTAATTCCTTGGCTTGTCTCTTCCCATACTCCTTCAGAGTAAACCCTTCTCCCTTCCCCCAGAGGTAACACAGACATCTTAGAATGAATGAGTTAATCATACACCAATCCTCCCTAATAAGAGGGACCCTGACAGCCAGCATAAGGACACTGGGCACCTAAAGAAGGGAGGAGAAGATGTTAAAAGACAACCTCAAAGACCATGTTCCTTTGAGATGGGGGTGGGGAGAAGAGAATGAGTGTGGGGGGGAGGGACAGGGGGGAAAATGTTCTCTTAATTACCTGGAAGCTGTTTTGATATGTCGAAGGTCCCACAGGTGGTAAAAGCTGGTCTTTTGAACTCAAGCCCCCAAGTCCAAACCTTTTCCAGCACACAATGCTCTCTCTCAAATGGAAAGGAGCTACCCTTTGGGGACCCACATGGACAACAGCTCTGGATCCAACCCAGTCTGCACACAAAGATAATCTCTCAGCACCTCGTTTCTGCTGGGACAAAAAAGGACCCAGACCCCATTCATCCACGGTCACCCCCTGCCAGCAAACACATCTGCCTGCCACCAGTTCCCAAAGTAGCAACGACCAGGGCACGTGCAGAAAGCTGTTGAGTTGAGTGGGATTTTCTTCTCACAGCCAACGTGTCAGAGTGCCCTCAGACTTGTGTACCTTGTCACCAGCAGCGTACAGGAAGTGAGCAGAGAGGTTCAAGAGGAAAAACGGAACTCAGTGCGCAGGGCTGTGCCCTTTCTAATGAGCTTATTATTATTAATAACATAATTATTATAAATACATAAATAATTATATTAATTACTAATATGATTATTAATTAATAATAATGCTGATAACTGATGTGTATCTGGGGTGAGGTGGGTGGGCAGTGTGATGAGCTGGGTGACTGCTCCTAGCACAACAAGAAAAATACCTGATGTAGAGATAGTGGTCTATGAATATTAGGGGAAGGACCTTCAGGCATTATTATCCCCATTTTACTGATGAGGAAGCTGACGCCCAGAAGCAAAGTGAACTAACTGGCCTGTGGTTATTCAGCTAGTGCTTGATGCAGGACCTGAATCCAGGTCTCTTCTGACTCTATAAGCCTAGCATTCTATCCACTAGGCTCTACTTCCCGTAGCCACATAACAAAACTGTGGATGATCAATAAACAGGACTAGCCTCAGATGTGGGTGGAGAAGGCAGCTGCCCTCAAATAACTCCTTCACTCTGTCTCCTGATGCCTGAAACTGCACCATAAAAATTTCATTTCTTTGGCTTAAGACTTTGTTCCTTAATAAAATAAAATGTCCCTCTTGGAGGGGTCCCACATTCCCTTTTATTCAGCTGAATTCACATCACTCTATCTGCTGTAACCTGCTGCTTTTTAAGGATGACAGCTGGGGGAGAGGATACGCTGGACGAGCTGAAGACAAACACTGCTAGCGTCATTCAGTCTCTTGCAGAGAACTGTCTTTGTCCAACGGGAGGTGTGTTATAATGGAAACCACATTGAACTTGGACTGAGGAGGCCTGGAGGGGGTTGGAAAGGAATCTAGTCACTAGATGATCTCTAAGGCTCCTTCTAGCTCTGGGAATCTGTGAAATGTCTGTTCCATACCTATGATATGCCCAATTTCATAGAAGGAAATACCACTTGTAGTCTTCCTAAAACATTAGTTTAAGTAAATAATTATTTTTCTTCTCTCCTTCTTAGTGCCCCCACTCCTTTTCCTTCTGTGTGTTAATGAAAAGAGTGTGATTAAGATGGTTTTCTGGGGCACATGGGTGGATAGCTAGGTAAGCTGTGGCACAATCTGGAGCAAGTCTAGCCCAAACCACCCTGGTCCCCTTGGGCCCTCCGACGGCAGAGACTGGTGTTTTCTTTTTTGTGTTCCTGGCACCAAGAATAGTGCTCTGAACATGTTTTTTTTTTTGTTTAGGCCCTCATCATCTCACACCTAGACTACTGAAATTGTCTTCTGGCAGGTTTCCCTGCTTCAAGCTTCTTCCCATTCTAGTCTGTCCTCCACCCAGCTGCCTAAGTGATCTTCCTAAAGCACAGACGTGCCCATGCTACTCCCCTCCTCAGTAAACTGCAGTGGCTCCCCGTTCCCTCTAGGATTAAACAGAAAATTCTGCTTAGCTTTTTTTTAAAGCCCTTCCTGTCTTTCCTTCTTACCTTACCTTGACTACCCTTCACATACTCTAGGATCCAGGGACACTGTCCTTGCTACTTCTTGCACAGAATACTCCAACTCCAGACTGCCTTTTCACTGTCTGTCTACCATGTTGGGACCCTTTCCCTTCTTTTTTTTTTGGTTCCTTTTTTTTTTTTTTTTGGGTAGGCAATGGGGTTAAGTGACTTGCCCAGGGTCACACAGCTAGTAAGTGTTATGTGTCTGAGGCCGGATTTGAACTCAGGTACTCCTGACTTCAGGGCTGGTGCTCTATCCGCTGCGCCACCTAGCTGCCCCCGACCCTTTCCCTTCTTACCGCTGCTTCCTGACTTCCTTCAAGATTCAGCTCAAATCTACCTTCTGCGAGAGGCCTTTCCTGGTCTTTACCCTACTGCTAATGGCAGATGAGACTTGAGGGGGATCTTGAGAGATGCATTTTAGGAGGTAGAGAGGAAGGAGGATAGTTTTTTATTGAGGTGGAGGATGATGTGAACAAAGTACAGAGTATGCAATGTCTATGGGACAGTGAAGATATTGGCTTGGCTGCACAAAGAGGGATTTTGAGGGGAACAGTAGCAGTTAAGGCAGGGTAGGTCCAGTGTAACCAAACTGTGGAAAACTGAATAGCAGACGGAGAAGCTTTCCAACTGCCTGAATATACCACTCACTTTATCTAAGTAAAATTGTTATTTTTACTAAG